GTCTGAGGACAAGAAATGGACACAAAGCTTTCATCCGCGAACAAAACAGTGATGGAAAGTCCAAGATATATGCCAGCTTCACATTAGCTGATACCAGTGGGACATTTAGTCGCTATGTCGCCGAGTGTTATCCGGAGGCCAGGAGATGGATCAAGCGTCCGCCTTTGTATCATCTTGACGTAAAAACTACCCAGGGTGACTTGGCCTCTGAGTTCTCTTACAGCAATTCCCAGTGGAAGATGGTGAGTGGTCGAGAGCATTGTCCCTAACATTCGAGTCTGACTCTTGCAACAGGCTCGCACATATACCATCCCCGATTCGATGGATACCAGCATTCCAACAGATGTGTATTTTCTAGTACGTGTCTTCAATGTAGAAAGGGAGCCGGAAGTACAGTTCCTGCTCGACCCCTGGTCACTCCATCTTCAAGACAACCTACGATTGAGGGCGGAAAAGGAGTATCGTGCAAACGTTCATGGACTTAGGGTGTGAATACCATTGCTATCTATCTATACGAGGGTCGACTTGTCAAGATTTTAAGATGAGGGTCAGACACGGGGTTTGGAGTTTGGGGTTTGGGTTTCATGGCACTATTTACATGAAGTCGAATGAAAATATATCGTACAAAGCTTCCTGGAGCTCTCAATGTTCTGTCTATTCTCATCCACTCGAACATCTCCGACGATCCTATGCACGTGATCAGGGGAGAGCCTCGCAGCGTCTTCCGCGTATTTGCTCCGCCCTACGGTTCCGTCCCTCCTCGCTTCGTATACGGAGGAACCCTGAGTCTCCGAACTGCAGTTCCATATGGGAAATGAAATCTTTGAGCTCCATAAACTATTATTATTAATTCGGAGCCCCATTGCATCACTACATAAATTATCATAAAAAAGGGCCGCGTTTTCTTTCCGTTTTCAAAACCACAACCGGTTCACAAGTCCTGTCGTTTTCTATTTCCCAGGGTTGCTGCTCTCTTTTCTCCGGCTTTTGACATGGTTCACTCTCTATTGTATCTCTGAAGCAAGACCGAAGACGAGCAAACCCTCCCTCCTTCCCCGGACCCCCTCCATCCTCCTCTTAAAAGCCATGTTTCGACCCGCGGTGGCCCGGTCAACGCTTCGCTCCGTAGCTCGCTCGTCCTCCGTCACCTTCGCTCCCGTGCCCAGAAGTACGTATGGAATACGGTTCGCTAGTACATCACCCGCGAAAGCGCGACGGAGTTGGAAGAGCACGGCGTTGAGATGGGGGATTGCCATTGCGGGCATTTACTATTATAACACGAGCCCGGTCTTCGCGGAGCAGCCGCAACATAGTGAGTCAACTACTGCTTCGATAGTTGCCCGAAGGGAGAGGCGTCCGTTCGTTCCGTAGACCACAACTTTTCTACATGGAAGCGTCCGAGATACTGATTGTGTGATTGGCGCGTGCACCTTACAGATCTATTAAACCCAAACCTGGATGCCGTTGAAGATGAACGAAGAGACCATTCGACACTGGAAGCTCTCACGTCCCGGCGCGCCCCAGAAGCCGACGAGAACGCCGCCGCCCTCCACTCCGCCATCGACTCGATATCGTCCGAGAATGCGTCCACGACTGTCGTGACCGACGACGGGCCATTCACGCCTGGCAACGCCGAAGGTCTAGAAGAAGAGGCGGCCGGCGAAGGAGCTTTCAACCCCGAGACGGGCGAGATCAACTGGGACTGCCCGTGCCTGGGCGGCATGGCGCATGGGCCCTGCGGACCCGAGTTCCGTGAAGCCTTTTCCTGTTTCGTGTTTTCAAATGAGGAGCCCAAGGGGATGGACTGCATAGACAAATTCCAGAACATGCAGCAGTGTTTCCAGAGATACCCGGAAATCTACAAGGGCGAACTGGAGGACGATGAAGAGTTGGATGCTAGTCTCGAGGCGGAGAAGCAGGAGTTGGTCAACGAGATCGCCGAGAGGAAAAAGCAACACGAAGGATCCCCCGGGGCACAGCAGCGCAGGTTGCTCGAGGAGCCTGATCCAGCGCCTAGGCCCGCATCAACGACGAAGAAAGTGGAATCGGGATTGGAATCGCATGAGCAATCGCAGCCGCAGTCACAGTCCGAGCTACAACACCTCCAAAGCCAACAACCCCCCGCGCCAGAGGGCAAGGTCAAAGTGAGTGACGACCCTTCTCACTCTTCAACCATGTCACCCGAGCGGGAGAACATCACAGAGGGACAAAAATCAGGAGTGACAAAAGAACCGAAGCCGTCATCTTCCGCCGCGACAGAAGAGACGTACAATCCCGAAGCAGATATCGTGCCCAAGGCGGCGCACGATGCTACGGACAATACTGCGGGGAGGGCAGAAAAATGAGTTTTCTAGACAGCTGGAGGAGAGACATAATGTATGTTGCATGACAGAAAAGCTGTGTGTGGCGAGTCCATTTTTTTTTACAAGACCATGGAAAGACAAAAAAGGTATTGTACATCATCATTACAAACGCGAGGCTCGACTTTGTACAATATTGGAATCGACAGATGGTTTTGGGCAAGAGTTCGATACAAATGCGGCGGTAACATCCTCATGTACAAATGTACAAATACTCGTAGCAGCCCAAAATTAAAAGACCTCATCTCCTGTCAATCTTTTTGTTCACTTATAGCCGAAGCGGGACACGGGTCTACACATAAAATAACATTTTTACTTTCAAGCAGCATGGAGGTATATACCATGTGGCAAGAGCTGTTGAAGAGGTAGCGCGTCCCGTGCGAGTAGAGGACGAGTATGGCTGAGATACAGCTTTCGGTCGTCCGGCTCTGGTAGGTGGACTCGCTACGACTTGTAGGTATGGAGGTTTTGATAAACAAGCAATCTCCGCTTAGGCTTCGCGTGCCACGAGGCAAATTTGAGACGGAGGCGCGATCGAGGTCGAAAATGGGTGTGGGCGAGATAGCCGACTCAGCTATGTGCAAGTGCTTGTAGGTCGATGAGCTCACAAAAGTCCCCATCGTTCCTTTCAATCTAGATCGTGTCATTATTGACGCTTTGCGCGCGGTTGAAAGGTCAATCCGAGTGCTGTCCCAGCAGCGTGGGTGTGGCTTTTACTACTGTCTTTCTCTTTTTCAAGTTTGCTCCCCTTGTTTGTCCCTTACAGGGCTCGCCGTATACGCATTGGGAAGCGGTTCAACAACCCACCCGCATCTCCACCCCGAAACTCGAGCCGACCAATTCGGGAGGAGGATGAAACAGTGGTTTGGGGAGCGCCTCAGCCTATAAACCCTCGTGGGATTCGGGACTAGCTACGCACTAGTGGCACTCAATGGTAAGCAGATCAGCAAATGAACTTGGGAACGCGAGTAGGGGCGGGCGTATTAATAGCAGCTTCTAACGCACAGGGTCTTGTTCGCGTGATTGGGTTATTGGGTTTGGGATGCTTGAATACGCCCATTCTCTTGGGGAAAAAAAAGAATGGACAATGATGCCTGTTGGGCAGAGAGAGTGTGTGGGTGTGTTTGAGTGTAAAGGGCAGAGGGTGTTTGGGTGAGAAGAGCTTCTTCGTTCGCTCCGGCTAGGGTGGTGGTGACAGCACAGGTGAAGGACGCAGACTAAGCAGTCCTGGTGACCCCTTTTAACCAGAAAGCAACAAGCGTCAAGCGCTCTGGAACCCTGAGTGGCCTAGGTGGCGCCTGTTCCCAATATCCCGCCAAGCCCAACATCACTGGTGGCACCCGAGCAAACCCCCGTACGCCAATCGCCTGGGATCCAACAAACCCCCCTTGACCGTTCGCCGCGGGTTCCCGTTGGCTGGCCGGGCTCCCCTGATGGATAGTAAGTGGGGACGTCAGATGGCCTGGAAAAAGAGGCTGCCGTCTGACATGAGATTCCTGTAGACATCCAGACATCGAAGGCGGATCTCTCTCAAGTGCGCTTTGGTCTGACAGCCCTTTTTTTCCCCTTCGCTCGGCTTCTCCTCCCTCTCCTCTCCCTTTGCTGGTCTTTTCCCAAAACCCGCTCCCCTTCCTCCCTGCGTCTTTCTCCAGGCTTGGGTCTTTTTCCCATCCATCCACATCCTCTATCATCGTTTTCCCTCGAACTTCTTTTTCCCTCCTCACCGTCCTTTGCTGTCACTCTTCACTCTTCCTGACCTTATTACCCTCCGTTCCCTTCTGCTTCCCTGTCGACTCCGGTATCGACTGTGGCTACCTAGTACTCTCGGTCTCGCATCGCTCGCCTTTCCTTTCGACCTCGACCGTTTTCGCTCTAATCGCTTTCTTCGAATCCTCCTCGCCATCACGCGCCAACATCCAGGTCCCCAAAATCCGACCCGCTCGATCCTTTTCCCCCTCTCTCTGTGACCGATATACCATACTGCCCTTTCGAACTCCCCCAGTCGTGGAGAGTGACTTGCAACATACCTGATAATCGTCCATACACGTACACAACAAGCTTTTCAATCGCTCGATCATTGCCGCGCAATATCCTACTCTATTACACCTCGATCTGATTGCCGAACCACCTTCATTGTTCTAAATCTCCCTTATCTGGTCCCCCAAAAGATTCAAGACAGCTTTGTACAATCCCTCATCTGGCCCTTGAACTCGCAGTATCAGCACATTAGTACCTGCACCCTCGGTTTTCAAAAGGGTTCTGCCAACAGCTGGCTGAACATTTGGTTAGTTTGGTCGTCCTCCTTGACCGAGTCTACGTACTGACAGGAACAGGCAGGCATTTCCTTTCCGGTCACGCTGTCCGCCTTCTTCTAGTACTACCGACCTTTGGAGCATACCGCATCACGAAATTGTCTCTACCTAGTCACGACTTGTCCTAATTTTCTTAATTCACCAGACAAAAGGGAAATCACACTCCTTGGTCACATTCAGTTCTCGCGTCGGCAGTGCACGGACTTATTTTCTTCCTGATCTTTTTGAATCCGGCACCGGACACTTCGGCTTGTCCCGTCCACCTACAGTTTCAGTCTCGTCAAACTTACACAGTATACCATCCTTTGTATATTTCATCTAGAGTACAATGAGCATCGACGCTGGCGGTGTTGCTCAAATGACTTACCAGTCTCCCTTCAACAATTCTATTGGCGTTTCCGGCCCTGGGTTTGCTTCTCGAGGGAAAGGGTCCCATATCAAACGTCTCAGCGTTGCGCCTCCCTCCAAGATCTCGACCATCGACGAAACTCAACAGGCGAATACCGTTTCCACGCCCCGCACTAGTCGGGGCCACCTTCTGGCTGGTCTACGCACAGCTCCCAAATCTGCAACGGTACCTCCTGCTACCCATGGCATAGGTCTGGAAGGTAGCAGGTACGCCTCTGCGGGGTACGCCAACCAGGTACCGCAGACAGCTACTGGCACGTACTTTCCGGGAGGCAGGAACAATTTGCAGAGCAACTTGCTGCAACCTTACTCGCGTCCTGAGCATGTGCTTGCTCCTCCATCTCTTGACTTCGTTGACGGAGCGGAGAATATGGATCAGAATCTGTACGATGAACTGGTAGCCACGAATAATTATCTTGCGCAACAGCAACGGGCTCTTCAACAGCAGCTGTTGAATGTCACTGCTGCGGCCCATCAGCTTTCTGGACTCAACCTGAACACGGGCTTTGTGAACAACCTGGGTCAGCCGCAGTTTCAGTCTCCCATCAGCTCTCCCATGGGTCTGTACAATCAACAATTCCAGCAAGGCCTGCAACCCGTGGTTCACCCAGTCCCTGGTAGCCCTGGTGTCTTTACTGTCTACAATCCGATGACCGGGCAGTCAAGTTATCTGGTCGACAATTCCTATCAGCAGCAGCAACAGCGCCAGCAGAAAGAGGTGTCTCCCGTCCGTCAGAACAATTCTGTTTCGCCCCCTCCTGTTGCGCCAGCCTACCAGCGCCAGTATCCTGAGCCGTCTTTCCCTTTGACTGAGGCTCGTTCAAAGACCCCGCCTAAGTCCACCCCATCTCCACCGCAAGAGGTTGAGCCTCTCCCGCCTCCGTCGGCGAACGCTTTTCGACGGGGTCACCGGAAGAACATGTCTTCTGCCAACATCAAGACTGCTGGTGACTGGACCAAGGGCTCGGCCGCCAGACCCGCTGGGTTCCCGCAGACTCCAATGACGGCCACTTTTGGACCGGGCCACGGAAGAGCCGGAGAGCATCCTGTCAGACAGCCCAAGGGACCGCCCCTTCTGCAAGAGCTCGAGGAGAAGCCAACCTCCAAGCACGAGGGGAGCAAGAATTTTGCTACTCGACAACGCCGTAGAGCTGTTCACGACTTGGTTCGTGCAGGGCGTGAGCGCCGCAGTGATGGTGGTCGTCAACCCGGCTCTGGGGCAGGAACACCTGGTAGCGAGAACGAGTTCAACTTCTCCGTGTCGTCTGATGACTCTGTTCTTGCTGGGAGCAGTAGCCTCTCGAGCAAGCCGAGCCTGGGTAGTCTCCGGGCTGCTGCGAGCGGGGTGATCGGGTCTGAGATCAAGGAGAAGTCTCGTGAACGGTCTTCTGTTGACAGCGTTGGAGCGATCAGTGCTAAGAGCTTGAGTAGCGATGAAGGCAACTCTGTTGGAGGTTCTATTGTCGAGATTGAGCCGGCCCGACGCAACACGCCATTGATGGTTCTTAGTAGCGCTGAGAAACGCAAGAGCGTCGTCATGTGAATGGGCAAGGCGCAGAGGGCGGTGCCCCTTTCTTTTACAGCATCATTTGAGTTCTCTTGGAAGACTCAGCCGCTCATTTCATCACGACTTTGATGACTTACTACTCCGAGATTGATTGGCATGAATATTACTTTACACTCGATACACTCAATCCTCCCCTAACGGAAAAAGCACCGAGACTCGAATGGTACCCTAGGAAATATCCTTTAATGAATGGGGTTTTCTATGACCAGTCTCTTTTCTCTTTGATTGTGCCTTGTTTTGAAGATTCTTAAAGTGACTTCTTGAGGCCGGATACATTCTTTTATTGTATGGCTGGGCCGATATGCTGGAAGGGTTGCTGGGAGTAGAGATGCTCCGCAGAGTAGAGTGGCGCGAGTGGTAGGGGGGAGGTCTAGACGATGGATGGAGACAGAGGACGGATAGAGGAGGACCATGGCTGGGCTGCCTGGCTCGCTTGCTCGATGCGTTGCGATGAGATGAGATGAGATAGGAAGGGAAAGAAGTTTAGTGGGATTGATAGTGATTGATATTGATTAGTTGACTGATGAATTGATACATGCACCAATTGACTGCCTCACCAGCCGGACTGATTCACTGACTGATTGAGTGATTGATTAACTGGGTCGATGAATGGACGATGGAGAGATTTTGTATGTACCTCGTACAGCACACATGAACAAACATAAACCCACGCACGCATATACAACGCCCAAAGTCATTCATATATACTCGGTACTCGGTACACATTACACATTGTCTTGTTCTGATTCCATATCTTAACCACTCGAATTGGAAATGGCCCGTGCTAGATCCAATCGCTTTAGGCAGTAAACTAGAAAACTTGGGTAATCAATCTTCAATGCTCATCATGCTCGCTCGTGCTCACGCTCGTGCTTCATTGCCTTAACCCCATCGCATTTCTTTGCTACTACATCGTACTGTGGCTACGCTCCGCCTGCAGGGAAACCAAGCATGCAATAAAGTAAGTAAGCAGGCAGTTAAGCAATCCGGCTCTCCTTTACGTTATCCATCATTTCACAGCCTGGCTTCCACCCCGCCTCTCGTGACACTCTTCCTAATCCGAATCCGAATCCGAATCCAAAAGGTTCGCTCAAGCTCTAGTCCCAGTCCCAGCTCAACTGTTCAGATACCGGGCCACCGCGCCTCTCAGCCGCCTCCCACCTTCACCGGCCACGTTGATCAGGTTCTCTAGGTCGTCTCCAGCCGTCAGGCCCAGTTTCCGAACAAAATCCTTGGCCACCGTCTCGATATCTCCGTATGCACCGTCGCCTTCGAGACCAGTAGGATCGTCCTCGGGACGTCCGAAATACGCGTTCGAGCTGATCGACGTGGCACCCTCGAAGCCCTGCAGGCGCGATTTCGCCTCAGCTTGCGCCTGGGGATCATAGCTGTTGCGGCCAAAGAACTCGTCGGATGAGATCGACTTTTGGGTGCCGAATTTGCTGCGGGCGTATTGTTCTTCCTCGTCTGTAGAGCAAGCGACATTGTTAGTTGCAGAACAAGAGATAACAAAAGGTGTGCAGGTAGACGGAAAAGGAGGGAAGGTGACATAGCGGGACGCTTTGAGTCTCGAGGACGTCCTTACCGTCTGCTGCAGAGGCCTTACTCGGGCCGACAGCACCGAATCCTAGTTTCTTTGGTGCCGGTGCGCTTGAGCTTGCCACTCGTTTGCTTGGTCCGACCTGCCCGAAGCCCAAACGACCGACCCCCATTCCAAGTCTCTCAAGCTCACTTGGACTTCGCGCGTGGCTGGGATTGGACGCCGACCTAGTCGCCGTATTGATAGGTGTCGGGGTCTCCTTGGGCGTCGCAGGTGAAGAGACACCGAAACCGGAGGATTTGCTGGCCTTTGCGAGGTCCTCCGCCTTCTCTGCTTCAGGATCATAGCCCAACTTCTCTATCCTTTCGGCCTCGGCCTTTGCCGCCTTCTCAGCTGCCTCAAAATCGATTTCCTCGCCCACAACCTTCTTTGCACCGAGTTTGTGTACCAGCTTCTTCCCACTAAGGACATTGGCGCGTCTGGCACCTGCACCTCCGGCAGCACTGGGGCCTTTGCGGATTGCGGAAGAAGAAGTTGTACGTATTGCAGCTGGGGCGGGAAGAGCAGCTTCAGCGTCTTTGACGGGGTCATCGGTCGAGTTGGCAGCCAAAGGTGAAGGAGATTTAGGCCGTGCTTGCGAGCCATTTGTACCGTTTCCGGCCGATAGGAAAGGGGAGGCAGTACGTGAGATCACCGGGGGCGTGCCGCTTCGCGACGGCGGATTGCTAGGCCGCTTGATGGTTGGCTTGTCCCAGGATGAGAAGAAGTCGTCTGCTGGTTCACCTGCGGGTGTAGAGGTACCGTCGGCGCCAGGGGTGGAGAGGGGGTCGTCGGTGATGACGACTTCGTCGGGGTATCTGTTGATATCTGTCAGGCCATGTGCGTACAGATGTAATTTCAACAAGGGTGTCGTACTCTTGCGCGTCTCTTTCAGCCCTACGCTTGAGTTCTTCCTTGTATTTGTTCGCAGCGTTGGACGTGTATTTGACCTTCGCGTCTTTGCTCGCCAGCGCCGCACTCCCGCCGTGAGATTGGAAGAACTTTGTGGCAGACTCGTTGCCTCCAACTTTCATAGTACGCAGTTGACTCCATTGCCAGACTATTACACGTCAATATAAATTCTTCTGTTGGGGTGGCGGGCTCGCAGGTACCGTCCAAATTCGTGGATCTGACAAAGGAGATGTGGACACCCAGGTTTCTATGGTTGGAAGAGCAATCCAGACATAGATAGACGCCGAAAGGGACAGAAGACCAAGTTGGATTTTTCTGGCCACAGTCGAAACATATCTGCAAACGTATGTCAGCGGTCACGGAAGCTGTGGAAGTGTAGATTCGTAGATGTGGCCTCCTTGCAGGGCGATGGACTGAGTACCTTGTTGGCCGGTTTGGCTTTCAGTTTCTCGAAGATCTTCTGCGATTGCGCCTTTGTTGCGCTCATCTTGACAGGACCCAGTATGGAGGAGGAGAACAGAGACAGGAAACTAGGGATAGTGAGAAGCGTAGTGTTGACACGAGTTATTGACAGGAAATCTGGATCGCAGACATGCGCCGGGTTCAGGGTTCGTTCCCGCATTTACGGAACAGCAGACGCCACTAAGCGAATTCGGGACTTTGCAGCCTCGAGTTCAGATTAGGGGCAAAAGCATCTGTTCTGCTCTAAGCATGAACTCATGGTTGCTATACCTTTGGGTCCCACATGTAAAATGTCACAGTCCAGGCAGACCGCACCCATGAGTTCATTTATCCTGCGGACAAGGATGTGCACGAGACCTGCGGCAGCAGATCGCGACATCCAAGGTCGCGGCAGAAACGTATCAAATTTACAGAGTGAGCATGAAGAGCCGTCGTCACACTGGATGCTAAGTGTATCTCTTTCTCATGTCTTCCTGACTGGCGACCTAACCTGAAATTCTCGGCTGGAGGATTCCTTTCACTCCCTCACCTAGTCCTCACTCTGTCCAGACGAGTCCTCCCCTGTCCAGGTTCCCTTTCCTTGCAGACGTTGTTGTAGACACCTCCACATCACCACCGCTCCAGGTGACAATTTCCCTCTGGTCTGCTGTCCTTTCGAATGTGGAGACAGCGCCAACTGACTGAAGGCGTGGCTCACTGACCACACGAATGACGAATCACGCAGTGCCACCCCGATGCCGACTCTGAAAGACCTTGTTTGCCATGTACAATGGGCAGATACTGGATCTGCATTCCCTGAATATGGGACAATTTACGGAGATGGTGTCGTTGAGACCTACATTGCCGTCCCTGGCCATCCTCAAGCCTTCACCATTCGACTCACCTCGCGGAAGTTCATTTACACAGGCTTAGCAATGGTTGTCTTTATTGACGGAGATTACCAGTGCAACCGGAACAGAGTCAACCTGCAGCCTACAAAGGATGACGCACCTGATAACAGAACAAATATCGACTTCCTTGTAAGACAGAAAGAGAAACCGATGGGTGATGGGACATATATGGGTCGCGAGTGGCGCTTCGATGATTGTAATCTTGGTGAGTCCCTCTACTGGATCCGCAACGTCGAAGCTGACCCTCCTCTACCAGTCTCTCAAATCCCTGATGGCGTCGATCAAGGCCACTTTGACGAGCTTGGAACGATCGAGGTTCTGGTTATGCGATGCTCCAGCAATAATCGCGAGGATGGCCAATGTTCGACTACCTCTTCTGCTGAACATAGCGGTATCATGAACGACGATGAGGATGCTAGAGAAGAACAACTCCCGGGAGGCGACTCTGGGGGCACATCAGATGCTGTGCAGATCGTTGTGGATGCCGAACCACCCCAAACTGAGGCACAGGATGCTTTCGGTGGGCTTTTTGGCCTATTCGATGGACCCGCCGACGGATGGTCTTCCTTCGCCGTGAACTCGGGCGATGCCCCGTCAGGTGGCTATTCTCGATGGCATTGGCAGGGACCTGGTGGTGAAAGCGGTCCTTATGGGCCTCAGGAAAGATCACAGCATTCGCCGGATTATCGTGCAGCTCCCCATCACTACGGAGAGCCACCGCGCTCCAGGTACGACTATCACGACTCGCCCTCCTCATCAGCATATGCACACCCACTAAACCCGCCTCCGCCACATATCAGACCAGAGAGACATGTTCATTTTGACTATGGCGATAGGGCAAGGCCGCCATTGAATAGCTACACCGCAGGATACGACCACCAACCCCATCATACTTGGACCCGAGACGATCGGCCAGCATACTCCCAACCTCGTCCAAGTCATGGTCGTCCAGAATACCACAGACACCGTAACTCCCATCCGGATTATCCTGTTCCCCCTGGAGGCGGGCATTACATGTACAATGCTGATCGAGAAATCTACAGCCAATATCCCGATCCGAATCAGATTCACGGCAGCTTCCAGCAACATACTCCTATGGCCAGTCACTCTAGTCAACATTCGTACTATCAACCACCCACTCAAGGGGTCAGTCATGAACATCACCAAGCACATGGTCCGCAGACATTTGGTCCTTCTCCAGCGAATTTGCCCGGTTCTGCTCCGTCGGTGATCCCATTTCCTCCTCTTCCCCCTAGGATACCGATTCAGCCCACAAATCTGCCTCCCATCCAGCCACAGCCTATTAACTACCCTGTTCCAATTTGGGTCCACCCACCAACAATGCCGGTTCCACCATTTCCAACTGCGATGCCGATCTATCCTCCCCTGAACAACGCACCACTATTCCAGACTCAGAAAATAGATGCCAGTAATGTCCCAAGCACCCAAAATGACAGCACAGTTGCTCCGGGTGGAATTCAAGCCGGATCGAATGGGGACAGCCCTCAGCAGCAGGGAGGTGACAACGCCAACATTGTCGAGAACAACAACTCCAACACGGTTCAGACAAAGCCCGCGGAAGATCCTCTACAAAATACAAAAAAGAATAGCAATGATGACGGTTGGCCAACTTCTGGAAATAACAACTGGACTAACGATAATGGGCGGGCAAATGGAGGTGTAGACGATAATGCAAGTAACAAGACCGGTCAGAACTTGAGCGACGCCGGATCAAACGAGAACAGTAACAACACTTTCAATAACGAACCCAACGGCGACGACATTGGGCAGAATTGGGGAGGAGACAATTCCGCCAATACTGGAACCGGTCGAGGCTGGGAAGACGAACCCACCAATAATGGGACTGGTCAAGGTTGGGAGAACGAGAATACCAACGCTGGAGGCAGCAGCTGGCAGCAGGAACCCACCCAGAACAACACCGGGAACCAACAGAGCAATAACGATGATGGGTGGGCGAACGAGAATCAAAACACTGGGGGTGGCGGGAATACTCAAGCAGGCAATGGGAGCAACAATCCACAAAGTGGCTCGATCTCCAACATCACGCCTGCATCAGATGGAAATCCATGGAACAGCCGATCTCTGTATGGTCCACACGGGGCGTACTACACCTCAAAAGCCAGTGCGCAAAATGCACCCCCTGCAGAAGCCGAGGAAGAGCCCCGGTATGACGTCCCGCAAGCCATTGCGCAGTCCATTGGTGTTACGAAACAAGTGCAGCCGGGGAAAGGCTACCTGTACAACAAGAAGAGGTGTGTTCCTCACTACCTTGACTCTCTGGACGAGCCGTACGCTAGGTTCGTCTTCAAATACCGAACAAAAGAACAGCTCAAGGACGAGATCGGGGTCGAGATCACAGCCGAGCCAAGTCCAAACGAGGACATCAATGCTCTCGAGAACTTGGATAAGGCAGAGTTGATCCAGCTGGTGCTTAGGGCAAAAGGAGCTCTGGGGGGCACGATACCCAGTCCTCCACCGAAAGTGACACCGACTTCCGTGAATAGCTTTGAGCAGGTTCCCGTCGACGCTCCAGATGTGGGTTTTCTCAGGTACAGCTTGCCACGCATGCGCAATGCGTCGAACGTCGTGGGCCTTGGGATTGGCCTATCCCCGGCTCCAAACAACCAAAATAATGGGGGGAATGTCAGCCAAGGCAACAGCAACAGCAATAATAAGAGCAACTGGAATAAGGGTTCGAACAACGATTGGCAAACCGGGAACAGCCAGCAGAACACGAGTGGGAATAATGGTGGATCTCAGAACTGGCAAGAAAACAATCAATCGCAGCCCAACAACAGCGGAAACAACCAGAGTTGGGGGAATGGCGGTGGCAGCGGGAGGAACAACAACAATTCTAACAATAGCGGCAACAGCAATAGTGGTTGGAACAGCGCCTCCGCAGATAACAAGAACGGATGGGACGGGCAACAAGAAAAGCAGGCCAGAGCTGCGTCTCACCACGCAGGGAACTTCAACAACGCGCAGGGGACCTCTCGCCGCAGCTCAGCGATCAGTCCAAAGGGCCAGATCTCGGCTCAAGGATACGGAGGTCCCGCTGGACACCCGCCGGGCGACTTGCTCGACTACGTCCTCAACAACCCGCAAGAAGCGGCGCGCATGGGCATGACCGGCCCGCCACCCCCTGCTCCCCCAACCGTTGCTTTCACGCGCACCGGCACCGTCGGAGGTGGCCAGACGAACTTCGACATGAGCGCCAGTAGCGGCGCTGGTCCGCGGCCAGCAACGCCTACAGAACCTCCGCCGCCGTGCAGCCCTCTCAGCGTCCAGGATCCGGGAGGCTTCGGAACCGCGGGATGGGGTATGGAAGGACCAAATCCAGCAGCGCCGTCGGGTGGTTGGTAAGGCACAGTGAGCTGGAGAGACGAGACACGTGAGGCAGAGAGTGAAGAAGGGGAAGGGGAACTGTTATTATCAGGGCAAAAACAAAGCCATAGACTCTTCGAGTTCATTTTAGCCCGGATTGACTCCATGCCTTCTAGATTCAGAGTGATACCATGACATGTCGAAGCTCCTTTCTCTTCCGCTGGCTAAAACGAGGTATTATGACGGGTTGTTGCACAGAAGACTGAAGAATGTCTCGATCGCAAACGGCCAGAAAAAACTATAAGGACCGGAAAAGCTACCACTAGTGAGGGTCATGACTTTGCACCTTTCTCGTCCTTTTCGATCTCGTCCTTGTCGTCACCGACCACAAAGCCTCCGCCGAGCAGTATGGCCGGCTCGTGGATGTTGTGGTGTTCGTAGCTCAGGGTGCCGACACCGCCGGCCTCCATGATCATGGCCGTCTCGGTGAGCGGTCTGCCGATCCAGCGCACGGCGAAGGCGCGCAGGATGTGGCCGTGGCCGACGACCAGGACGTCGCCCGTGACGCCGGGCTGCTTGGGCTTCCCAATCACCTTGGAGTGGTATCGCTCGCGGATCTCGCGGATCAGGCTGTCGACCCGGTCCATGATGTCCTGGGGCGACTCGCCACCGGGACAGCCGTCGCGCCAGATATCCCAGGGTCCCAGGCCCTGTTTGCGGCGCAGTTCGCGGATTTCAGCACTCGTAATGCCCTCGTAGTCGCCGTAGTCCCACTCGGCGATGCGCGGGTCGATCGTCACGTCCGCGTTGGTCTCGTGCGGTGGTGGTACTTCGTTTGTTGTCGTGGACTTGGAAGGTGTTTGCCAAGGGTACGGCTGGTGGCAGCCCAGATTGAGGAGTTCGAGGGTTTTTTGGGCGCGGTGGCGGGGGGAGACATAGCTATGGTTTGAGAGGATTTCCTCAATGTCAGTCTTGACCTATTCTTCTCTGGTATACAAAGTAGAAAGGGAGAGTACGGTGGTCCGTGGTAAAGCGTGTGTGTGTGAGAGAGAGAGGCCCCTTACATGTGAACCAATTGCTTCGGCACAATCAACCTATCGTCCCCGACAAGAGCCTTCCCCGTGGCACGCACTCGCTTCTCTCCGTTCTTTGTCAAAGGTATATCTGTGGTGCCCGTGTGTTTCCCCGAGAGCGACCATTCCGTCTCGCCATGTCGAACGATGAAGCAGCGCGGGGTGGTCATTTTCTTCTTTCTCTGCTGAGAGCTCTTATCTCAGAGGAATTTGCGTAGAGCTTCTCGGCTAGGGAGAGGGCGGGCGATATCCAATGCGAGAAACAGAGGAGGACACTACCAAAAGTCAGAGAAATTTGAGCAAGACCGCGCGGCGAGGGGTTGGGATATTACGTACCTATGTTGACCTCAGAGTAGCCCAAATAAGAGTAATCTCTTGCTTGATAAGGAACAAGTCAATGGGCGGTTTTTGTGTTTTTTTTGGCACCCGCTTCGAATGGGGAATGGGAAACTTGAGTGAAGCTTGACTATGAACTTGTGATTGTGATTGAGATTGCGACTCGAGACCGAGACTGTGACGTATGTTATGTATCTATTGTCCAAGGCAGGTTACAAGCGGAACTGGATCTGGGAGCTAAGAGAGGATGGGAAATACTACCTCGTGGTACATGCCTACTCAGCTTGGGTCTTCAGTCATCACTGCTATGTTTACGCAAGACAGATCCATTGAGGAGCGCTCGAGTATATTCCCATAACAATTTCGCCAGTCATGGTGGGGTTGAGGCGATGGTGGGGTAGAGGAAGTACGGGTAATGAGGACAGGGATGCGGTGTGATGGAGGGGTTGTTGGGCATTGGTGGCTAAAGCTGCGGCTAGCTAGGCATGCTAGGCAAGCAGATAGCAGAGAGGCTTGGGGTTCCAGGGGTGGTCAAGGGCATCCAACAGCATCACCAACCAAAAGAGCAAAAGAGCAAAAAGGGGGAGGGGCACAGGGGGCACCAAGGCCTGGCAGGCACTACCCACCCACTACCAAGGACAAGAGGTGCTGACTCATCAATGCTTATCACAGCAAACACCAACAACGCCTCACACCTCATTTCACTCCTCACACTATGACGCCTGGTTGACCAACCCGCCAACATTCATTCGGTTGATACATTTCATCACGGTGATGGAATCCCGGAAATCTCATTTTGGTAGTCGTCAACATTCCTCTGTCACCGCATCTACCCTGGTAGGTAGGTACGTGGCTCGCTATATACTGACTGCCTCGACAAAAACCGCTCACAAGCCAAGGAGAAACAACAAAGCGAATGTCCATCTCAAACCCCCCATTATCTAGATGATCATATACACATCCTCTTGCGACTCCATTCTGCTTCCAGTCGAGCCCTGTGCCGGAGCATCTCCCAGTCAACATACCCGACCAACTCCCAAACTCACCAATACTCCAGACATGTCTGAAGGAAATACATCACCCTTTTGTTCTTCCCCCCAAATCTGAGGTTTCAGTGAAAAAAAGCTCTGGGTTTTCGTGGTCTCATTCTTGAATCACCATAGGAATCAATCCCATCTCCATAGACTCGTCGGTCGGACTCAAGTCGGCCATATCTTCAACCGCCACCGTGATCTCGGCCCTTTCAACCCGCTTGGATTTGTGTGGCCTCGCTTTCCTCGCCCATCCGATCAACACTTTCCACCCGGAACCGTGCTCCTTGCCTTCTTCGATCACCTCGTCCACGCCCTCGAGCCACCGGCTCTGTTCTCTTCCCGACTCTGCCCGCACCTTGACCAACCACTCCTCCCACATGCGAGCCCCGAGGAGGCCAGTCAGGTCTGCGACATCCTGTGTACTGCCCACAGGACCTTGTACGGCCTCTACGTCCATGTATTGCCTGACGATCTTGCTGATGGTCGACACTTCACTGATTGGCCGCGGCGCGGGGACAAACGGCTTACCCCCTTGTCGCCATGACTGCCAGCCTCCACTGTATCCATAGGGTTGCTCTTCTGTCTCCTTGGGCGGTCTTCGCCCCATCGGCATGAACATCCAAGCTCGTTTGACGCCGACGAAGCCTTCTTTCTTCAGGCGTCGGAGCCAACTCCGAGCGGCTTCACGTTCATACCCGCGCCGGTGTAATTCAAACCCGAATTCCACCGACATGGTCTCCGCCCGGGGCCCTGCGTGTGCAATGGTTGAATCCATGATCATGTAGTCGAGGTACCCACCTGGTTTTAGCACCCGCATACACTCCCGAAGAGTCAGATCCCACTCGTCAATCTCAGGCACCCCCGGTACAGGATTGTTCTTGAGAAGGACGTGCAGTGAGCGCGCCGAGATGACATCGAAGTGTCCGCCGCGGAAAGGTAGCTGCCAGAGGTGCGGGACGGAGATGGTGCGGTGGTTCGCAGGGGCTTCAGGTTTCGCCATGGTCGGTGGCCGTTGAGACCGTGCCTGTTCCTTGGTGATGACAGTGTAGATTTTGACATTTGGCCACTCCAGAGCTGCGTTCCAGGCCCACGACGCCGAAGCCGTACCGCCAATGTCGAGAATGCGGAGTCGTTTGCTTCCCACGCACGCAGGATCATCTAAAGGAACGGTGGCTTTGGTCTTCAACCTTTGACAGGCGGCCGCAGATGCAAGCAAACGTCCGTGGAACATGGCTCTTAGGGCGTCAATCTGCCAGTTCGACGGCTCGACCGACGCAAGGGCAAGTTGTTCCCGTTCGGCCGTCTGATAGGCGATTTGTTCGACGGTACGCTCGAACACGCCCGTCTGTCGAGGATTTTGGCTGAACGGACCAGAATACTTTGGACGTGCCGGGTCGACCAATGTGTGCTGGCCGAGGAGGTTCTTGATGTGTTTTTCCGGGAGGGCAATCCGAAGAGCCTGGATCGCGTCAAGGCGGGATGTCGAGTGGATGAAGGCATCCCGACGTTTACGGACAGCGACGAGATGCTGGAATGCGGCGAGAAAGATGGGTTCCTTTGCTTCGGCTTCGCTGTCGGGACTCTCCTTCTCTGGCCAGGTCTCCACCTCCACCACCACTGACGTGTCTATCGTGGCTTTCTCCGCGAACATCACGGTACGACGGACGCTCTGGACGGCCTTGATGTCCTTGCCATCGGGAGGTTCGGCTTTGTCGGAGAGCTCCTCGTTAGGGTCAGAGTCCAGGATCGCGGACAAGTAGCCCGTTTGGGCGGCGAGCCAGGATCCCGTCCGGTCGAGATTCTGGCCTGCCGTCCTTTTGAGTTCGTCATAGTACTTTTCGTCGTATTCATAGTTTACGGTCACCACTTCAGATGCCTTAGAGGGGCTTCCAGCACCAACAACAGTGGCAGGGCCGTAGAGGTCGTCATCCTCGGACTGGGACTGCTGGCTCTTACGTTTCCCCACCACCGCCAGATCAAAGGTGGCCTGCTTCGCGGTCGGCGGGCCTTCCGTCATATTTGTGTCGTCGACCGTCAGCACCGTCTCGACGACGTTGTCCTTTGACCGACCCTCCCATGGCCGATTGTAAAACATCTCTGCGGTGGCGGTGCTAGGCACGCTCGGTGCCTTGGACTTGGAAATGCACCAGGTATGTCGCGAACCATTCTGCAGGGAAGAAAAGAAGCCGCCTGGTGAGGGGATACTCAGCTGCGAAAAGCTGTAGTCGGAGATGGGGGTCTCGCCGTCGGCGCTGCGTGGTCGACTGATGGGCTCCGGGTCGCTGCGCTCGCGCATTTCCTGTCGTCGACCCCCAGACCTCTTGGACGGGCGAGAGCTGCCAGAACTGCTCGACCCGTCGTCCCTGCTTTTCTGGCTCGCGAGCAGTTGGAGGAGCTGCAGAGCCTCGGGCGGCAGTCTCACGCCCACGTCGGAGCCATTGGACGGCGGCTTGTCCTCGAACTTCTTGAGCTCATCGATCGTGGGCATCAGAGGCGACAGGTCCTGCGGGGTGGCCCCCGGCACCGTCGGGAAACTGACAATCATCTCGGTGAATGCCGCCGGCGACGCGAGATTGCCGAAGGAATTGTTGTCCGAGTGCGCTTCCGCCGGTGACAGAATCACGCTGTGGCCATTATCAAGAGCAATCTCGAGAGGCTGGGACTCGAGATTGCTGGGCGGTGGACCTCCCCAGGTGCCCCCCTCCACGACCTCGAGTTGTCTCATGTCCGGCGTGACGGGAGCGCTGGTCTCGGCGTTGCACGGTGAATCCGAAATCGAACTGTTGCTGTCCCCGAGCGACGGCGGGGCATTGATCGCTGGAACATCTCTGGGAAGCGCCGACAGTGCCCTGGGCGACAGCCGGATTTTGGTGGCAGGAGACATGCCAAAAGTGATCTCCTTGATCGGACTCGCGTCCATCGAGCCCCAAGAGTCTCTGGGTATGATCAGAGCAGGGTAGCGGTTGCGGCTGGATTTGTCGCTGGCAAAGCTGTTGCGACTGGATCCTGAGGCAAAGCTGGTCGGGTCGCTGGCCAAAGACGGGCAGTCATCACTGAAGACCGTGCCTGAGTCGCTACCCACCAGAGAGCTTCGGGCCGAGTCTCGTCGACAGCCTGAGCCAGCGCTGCTGGAAGGAGAGGGTTCACAGGAAGAGATGGGCGAGGACGGAAAGGTCGATTTGGCGAGTGAGCTCTTGCGGGCACCGGTTGTAAAGAGAGCCGGATTCCATGCTGCAGGACGGCCGATTACGGTCGAATCACTTCCATCCCCCTCACTGTCGCTTTTCACCCCTTGGCTTGCGTCTTCCTTTTCCTCGAGAATGGTATTAAGTTGCCGACCACGGCCCAGCCGCGGTGGAGATTGGTAGGTGGTCGATGGTAAGAGGCTCATGCTTGTAAAGAACCAGCCTTTCACAAGTCTATTAACTATTGTCGGTCGATCGATTGGGGTCGTGGTATATTCGTGTCACACGCCCATCGGCTTTGTCCGCGCCCGCTCCGCGAAAAATCGTGAGATCTTGGTTGTTTGGGTGTGTTCGAAGAAACTACTGTGTGTTATTAATAGCGGTAAAACGGGCGCCGGTCAACGGTCGCGCGTTGGATATATGGGCGTTCCACGTTTTGTGAAGAATTTGGCTAACGAGAGAAAGCTGACGGCGACCAGCGAACTTCAGCAGCGACGAGGTTTCCGAGGGGAAAATAGTGAGGAGGGGAAGGTGGGAAAGGAAGGTACAAAGGAAAAGAGAAGAGCTACTTGGTGGTGGTAAAGAGAGAGCGGTGCAAGCGCCTGTGAGGACGGGCATTGGCGTCTCGCTCGAGGCCCTGTGGGAGAATTTGATGCGGATGGAGAGCAATGTCACGCACTCTTTTACGGATTGGGACATGGACATATCGACCCGGTGTCGATTGGTTCTGGCCGCCGTGGGCGAGGCCGAGGAGCCAGAAAGGGCATAGCCGGGGTGTTTGAGGAAGACGTGCAGGCCAATACCACGGCACGGAGAGGCTGCAGCCAGCGAGACGCGCAGGAAAATAGCATCAAAGGCGGAGATCGATAGTGCTGAGACGTGTTGGCAGGGCGTTGGAGGTCGAAGGTGGACGACGACGCATGGTTGGTAGAGGCAGCATTTCCTGCAGAATGAGGGGAAGAAGCCTGATTGGCCACATGGAGCTAGAGTGGGTCTAGACTGGGCGGTTACAGACGGCGCTATACCCAAAGCAGATCATTCTATTTATGGCACTTTTATTCATCGAGATGCCCATGGAGGGGAGCTGTCCCATTTGGCCCAAGAACGATTCTTGATGGTCCTGAAGAACCGGGATCCTGGTATCTGGGTCGCCAAGTCAGTGGTTCTCCAGGGAATCAATTTTGACTTCTTCCCCATTTGGCCCCCATCCTCCACGGGCCTGCTTCTGGGCCAACGGTCCTTTCAAGCCTTATTCCGACAATCATAACACACCTCGTGTATGAGGCTGAGATCGTAGTATGCCAGATTAATCCCCAAGCCATTCGGGAGGCAATGGCGAATGAGTTATATCATTGCTTGTACATGGTTACCCCTCGCCCATCTCGATCCTTTCATCTCGCGGACAGCGCCACACACAATACTACGATACTGTGATTATCCGTCGTTGTCATCAATCTGGGCGTAACGCCGTGTTGTAAGATCATCCAGGAAAGTACACCCGTCTGGAAACAGGAAACGTGGCCCGTGATTGACCCCATCACGGTGGCGAGACTCGCTGGGTATGTCGCCATGTTCCTTGCGTCCCCGTCAGGAGATCCTGGATAAGACCAGAGGTCTAGAAGGTTCATTTGGGATACTATTATTTGATCTGCTTTTGTTGGCCTCTTTCCTTGAAAGCATCTGTCTCAGACTAACAGAGGGGATTCATATCATCAAGCTCGGCCCAACGACATAGTCAAGGAGAACTGACTGCTCACGGTCACGACGTTAGCACCGAGAGACATGTCACATTTGGCTAACGAAAGAGGAAGAGGTGGTCACAGTGACCGAGGCTGGTGGCGAGAGCTTTCCCAGTATGTGTCTATAGAGTGTCCAGAGTCTCGACTCTCGGCTATTGAACGGCGGGCTGTGCCTTCGGGCCACCCCTGAAGTGGTCCGTCCAGGTACCATGTGACAGAGCAAATAGACATCTCGTGGGTCCCCCGCCCAATGACTGACACTCCTTAATCAGCTTGACGACATCCATCTTCCTCTATCCAAGTGCTTTCAATACGGCGGTACTGTTGGCTACAAATCCTGCAGAAATTGTCAGCTTCCATCCAACCCAACGTTCCGAGGATGGGGACCTACCATAGCCATCAGCATTGTATCGACACATCTGTTGGGCGAAAGGTGGGCTTGTTGTCTGAGAGAGATCGTCGACGTAGATCACATCATAGCCTATCCATGGTCAATGCTTTGGCTCTGCATAAGAGGCACGAAGAGAGGTTTTCCAATGTTTCTTACCCTTGAAGAAGGCATCCACCAAGGTAGACCAGACGCACTGATCGGCATTGACGCCGCCGAAGAACAGCGTCGACACTTCGTTTTCTTGGAGCCAGAGCCCGAACGGCGTCTGTGGTCCCCACAGTCCGGACAGACGGTTCTTGTTGAAGACCAAATCGGTGCCGGCGGCGACACCTTCGTCCTTCATTGTTCCCAGCACGCCGTATGGCTCGGCGTTCCAAGATCCGCGCATCAGCAGGCGGCCAACCTCAATCGTCGTGCCGTTCTCCTTGATGGTGCCCATGTCGCTGCCGAAGGTGTCGTTGGCGAGATCTGAGCCGCCGCTGAAGGAAGACTTGAACGAAGGGGGGATCGTCAGCAGGTCGTACTCGGTGAGTCCCCAGTTCACCCAGAGGATCTTCATGTCGTGCTTGCGGAACCCGTTGATCATGTTGACGGTTGGCTGGACGGCACCGCGGCCATTTTTCGCGCCGGGGGACAGATCAGGGTGAAGGAAGAAGTTTTGCATGTCGATGATGACCAGGCCGGTGCGGTTTGGCTCGATCTTGATGGACGCCCGGTCGCCCATCATCGGCAACACCTTTGGCGACGTGACTGGAGAGCGGTCGCTGCGGGTCAGGTCAAAGGTTCCATTGGGCAACTTTTTCCAGTAGTTGTAGTAGCTCCCCAGGGTGGATGTGGCTTGTTCGAAGCCGTCGCCGACCAAGGCGTATGCCTGACGCTCCTCCAATGCAGCCGGGCCGGCCGCACTCAAAGAGCTAGCGACGAGAGCAGAGACAAGCAAGTGCAAGGGAGAGAAGATCATCTTTGCGATAGCCATATTGAAGAAGACCTCGGCAAGGCTGGATAATGAGAGTTACTCGGTACTATCCAAACAACATGCCACGAAAAAGCAACCACTCCATCTTTGATGAGCTTTATACCTTTACAATTTCCACCATCTGGCTCAATCTCTGCGGCAGTTGAATGCCGAACGACGCAGCGGAGATGTGCATTTCTTTCAACATTTTTTTTTGGCCCAGCATGAAGCATTGGGACAAGACGAGGGAGAGATATGGCTATAGCCCAAATAGGAAGGCCGGGACACTTTGATAAGCAACCCGCCGGATTGTCGACAAAGCATACACAATACATTATTTTATTACTCCAAGATCTCGAGGGGAGAAAACATATTTCCCCCCGCACGAGTTCCAACCCAACCACACAGGCACACTCATCCCTTATCTTTGGTCTAGCACGCCTAGCTAAGTCAGTCCTCGTATTGAAATTGTGCTCCGAGTAACTCGAGGCAGAACGAGGTTTGATGAGTCAAGAATCTTTGCCAACTTTACCTCTTCCCGGGAAACCCGAGACAGGAAAGAGAGAGTCGTTGGATAAAGCGCGGATCTCCATCCGGAGGAATGCTGAGTGTGAAGGGTCAACAGCTGGTCGGGACAGGGTCCGTCTACGCCTTTTGGGCGAAAATGACATTTCTCGGGTCCGTGGTGTGTGAGTATGTGTGATGCCCGTGATGGTGCCCGTGGGATGTGACGGATATCCCGATGGACATATCAGAGCCCAGTCACTCGCTGGCCTATTCCGATCAGTTAAAAGGCACCTTGGCACGTTTGGACCTGGGAAAGGAGCCTTTCCCGATCTAGCTGAGCAGTGCTTGATGGCGACGAGGTGGTGGTGGTGACACCGTCACGAAGAGAAAAGTGGTAGGGACAAACACCAGAGTGATATTGAATCTCGACTGCAAGTGGGAGGACAAAAGGGTATCGGTCGAATTCCACGTGTCTGTGAAGCCTCTTGGTCAGAATGGGTGGTGAGCGGCAGAATTCAATACCAGACAGACCCGTGTCCCTCACAACTGCTTCACCCTGCTTCACCCACTGTCTTTCACTACCGCAATGATGACGAGTGGCTACCAGTCACCAGCTTCTCGTCTCCTACATATTTCATCAGATAGTTCTTCTCCCTAGACTGGGGTCCCTCTTTCAACCATAGCTACACTATCAAGTTGAACCGTGCACGATGATTTTTCATACTATCCTTTCGGTCTTGCTCATTCTGCTTCTCCCTGCCGCGTCCGCTAAATGCTGTCGGGAGGATATCGGAGGAGACTGTGGTGATAATTCGCTGGGAACCCCCTGCTGCGGATACAAGCCGTGCAACGCCTTTTGTTGTTCTTGTAAAGGAGGTAAGCAAGTCTCGCAACCTTGGTGCGACCTTTACCCTGGGCCAGTCTATACCACTTGACCATCTAACACGACGCGATGCATACATGACTGACACGTTTCCTTCAGTTTCAGTCATCCGGGAGATCATCGACCAAGGCGACATAGAATGGACATCTACCATCACTGCTCCCTACGACTGGGCGCACTCGACGTTTGAACAGTGGACCTGCCGTGCCAGCCACATCACAACGTGGTATCCTCCTCCAACGAAACGCGCCCTTCCTGAAGACTCAGCCACAACTATATTCAGCTCCGGCAAGCCTCTGGCCACAGTCACAGAGAAGCCTCAGCCGACCTTGACGCCTGCACTGCTACACGCTACGCGCGACCAGGAAGCACTCGCGGAATTGGAGGCGACATTCGACTTTGTGAGCAAGGGCAAAAAGAGTAACGGCACAAACATCATCACTCTTGATCAGTACTTGGGCTTCTTCAACGTTGCGGATAAAGGAACAGAGACTGATTTTGGCAAACACGTGGAAGCCAAGTTTCGAGCTCATGACAGGGACGGTGATGGTTTACTGACGATGGAGGAAGCGCAGCTACTCTGTGATTCTGATGGATGCTATTGAATTCAAGCCCAGAGCACGTCTCTCTGAGCAGCGTCTACCGAGTTCTCGTCCATTCATTATTGAGGCCTCTTGTTGGTGGTGAGGAGATACAGGAGAGCAAGGCTGCGCAGGAAAGATGATTGATTA